TAAACCCAAAACCCTAAACCCTAAACTCTAAAATCTAAACCCTAAACCCTAAACTCTAAAATCTAAACCCTAAACCCTAAACCCTAAACCCCAAACCCTAAACCCTAAACTCAAAAAAAAAATTCTAAAATCCCAACCCTAAACCCTAAACTCTAAACCCTAAACCCTAAACCCTAAACCCTAAACCCAAAGCCCAAAACCCGAGCCCAGGAACGGTCGGGGGATCTCTGTGTCCCTGCAGGAGGAGCTTTGGGGCTCAGAGTTCCGGGCTTTAGGTTTTGGGTTTAGGGTTTTGGGTTTAGGGGTTTGGGGGTTTAGGGTTTAGGGTTTTGGGTTTGGGGGTTTAGGGTTTAGGGTTTAGGGTTTGGGGGTTTAGGCTTTAGGGTCTAGGTATCCTCCCTTGCTTAAAGCTGAACCAGGAGTGGCCAAGTGTAGAGGCTGTCTTGAGAAAGACTCTCAAGAGCCTGGCAGAGCTTAGCGGCTTAGTAGCTCAGTGGATACACTTTACACTTTTTGGGCTAATATTACCCACTAAAAACTGAAAGTGTGCACTTTTTGTGGCTTATGAACTCAGCAACTAAGGTGGCTGTCTGCTTCACGCCTTCATTGGGCGAACCAAATCTGGCGATGCTGTGGTGTTGGAGGGAGCTGAGGTGGAATTCGACACCAATACTCGCGAGCTGCTGCGTGCCTTTGCTGAGTTGGTTTCGGCACATGTAGTCTAGGCAGGCCTTTTGGAAATTCTATATTACTATTTTTGGGTTTAGGGTTTAGGGTTGGGGCACATTCTATATTTTTGGTCGTGAGAAGAACTTTTTGACGAACATGTTCAGGTGCTGTAAAGCGCCAATCCACCGTCGACTCGGTCTCGCAGGAACATGTAGGAACAGTGCTATGGACACAGAAGAGACATGGACAAGCAGACAGAATCTCCCGTTCACTGTCACTCATGTAGTGTTCACTGATCGGCAGGGTTTAGGGTTCAGGGCTTGGGGTTTAGGTTGCCGGCTCGAATACCTAAACCCTAAACCCTAAACCTTAAACCCTAAACCCTAAACCCAAAAGGCAAGGTTACACAGATTTCTGGGCGACTCGACACTCCCCCAGCCAAGCAATGTGTCATGTGCTGCTCATCGGATGGATTGAGTATGTCCCTGAACACGTTTGACCCTCAATTCCCTAAACCCTACCTGCACCCCAAAAGTATGTAGAGTGACAGCCTCTTATGCTCTTATGGATGTCGGGCTACTATTTTTACCTACTTGTGAGGGTTCGAGTATAACTTTGAAGCCCCAGTTACCCAGACAGGTTGCGCACACTTCCCATATAATCCAGTACTCCGCTATTTATGCAACCCTAAACCCTAAACCCTAAACCCTAAACCGCTTGTTAGGGACTGTTGCCAGACCTTCCTAGAACCCTCATAAGCAATTAAAGTAACGTCTGACACGGTCATTGTGAAAACCCGCAACAAGGTCCAAACAATGCACCTTTGAATCAGCCTTTCAACAAAGGACAAATTGAAATAATCCTTGAATTACACACCCTAACCTCTAAACCCGATGATTTTGGGCACAGTTATATGCAGATGTTGAAAGGACCCTTAAAAATTTTCTAAACCCCGGGAATTTCTGCAGTTGGTATGTTTTCGTCGAACACAGAATAGGTTGAAACTAACCCTAGCCTAAACCCTAAACCCTAAACCCTAAACCCTCACAATCAGGTGCCTTGGATGCTCTGGGCGCTGAGTTTGGGACTTCTGCTGGAGAGCGCACGGCCACGGTGAGCCCACTGGGCTGGCTGGAGAATGTAGGATGGACGCCTCCTATTTGGCACCACCTCATCCTCTGGTAATTAAGGAATATACCTTAAATCATATTAGGGGTCCTACTATAATTTAAGGTACATTCCTCTATCAATGGATATTGGCGTCTCTGGGTTAGGAGTTTAGGTTTACGATGTCGGGTTTGGGGTTTAGGGTTCCGGCTTCCGGATAGAGGAGGATCGGAAGAGCCGGCATGGGAAAAGGAAGAGGTCCGGAAACCCGAAGCCCTAAGGGTCCATGTACCCAACTAGATATACTTTGGCCTTAAACCTATATATGTACTTTGGGGCCAATGTATATACTATTTGGGCACATGGACCCTCAGGGGAAACCCTCATCTCTAAACCTTAAAGCTGTAGCTTTAAACCCTTAAGCCGTAAACCCTCCAAAAATCGGAGTGTAATCTTCTCCTCGGCAGCTTCGGATTCGAAGTCGTGCAGTAGGTCAGAGGAGCGTTTTAGGGCGTATGTATGGTTCAGGTTCAGGGTTTAGGGTTTGGGCTTCATTCACCCTAAACACTAAAGCCTAAAGTCTAAACCCTGAACTTCAACCCGCCAGTTTACTTAGGGGCATTTGGGTCTTATATTTCCTTACTATAATTTTTGCGAGATACCCTAAACCCTAAACCCTTAACCCTAAACCCTAAACCCTAAACCGTGGGCTAGAGTACTCAGCCCTTAGGTTTTTGGCCCTTCCACGCGCAGTCCTGCTAAGAACCGAAGCCTCATGTCTTGCCATGGATCATTTGGACAGCTACAGGGTTTGATTTCGGGTTTATGGTTTAGGATTAAGGGTTTAGTTTTCGGTTGGGGATTTAGGGTTCAGGGTTTAGGCTCCAGCTCTTGGCTTCAAGGCAGACTTCTGATTAATGGACTCCTCTCTCGTAAAGCGGCTTTTAGTAGGAAGCTAATCATTATCGACCTTGAAACAGAGGGGCTTGAGCAATCAGGATCTACGTTGCCGTAGCGTTTGGGTTCTCTGATTGCAGCATTGGTTTTGAGGCTGTGGTTCTATTTGGACAAGACGGTGTGCCTTTCTGGCGCAATCGAAGGCTCAAAGTTAATTTCCCTCTGTCTTTAGGGCAACTAGTACAGTGTTAGCCATCTGTCGAGCTTGATTCTTGCTAGCGTCCCCTGCCCACCGCTCGATATCTCAACCGAGCTCGACAGAAGCTACCCATAGTCTCCCTTGTAGTTGCTTTTTGGGGGTTAACCCCGTATATTTAGGATCCTACGAGGTAACCCCAACAAGGAACTACAATGGAGACTCTACCCTAAACCCTAAACCCTAAACCCTAAACCCTAAACCCTAAACCCTAAACCCTAAACCCTAAACCCTAGCTAAGCTCATTCCATGCCTCAACCTGAGGCCGAACACCGAAAGCCCCAAGTCCCAACAATCCCCATTTGGGCAGGTGTCTAAATTAGGGTCCCTTTTAGGGTCCCTTTTTTTATAAGGGTGCCGCACTATATTGGGGACCCAAAAGGGGCCCTAATTTAGAGAACTACCCATTTAAGGCCCACATCCCCGATCCCAAGGTTCATTAAGCTCCAACACCGAAAATCGGCAGTGCCCTAAACCCAAAAGCCGAAGCCCCTGAGCCCTATAGGGCCTAAACCCTGAACCCTAAACCGCAACCCTAAACCCTAAACCCTAAACCCTAAACCCTAAACCTTAAACCCGAATCCTGACTGCTGAACCCATCTGCAAAGTCTAAAACCCAAAGCAGTCCTAATTTAGGGTTTAGGGTTGCAGCCAAAAGCCTAAACCCCAAACCCTCAACCCCTATAAACCCTAAACCCTTAAGACAGAGTATATGGATCCCAGCACGAAAAGCATCCTGAATCCATGTTCCAACGTTCTCAAACCCTAAACCCTAAACCCTAAACCCTAAACCCTAAACCCTAAACCCTAAACCCTAAACCCAAACCCTAAACCCCAAACCCTAAACCCTAAACCAGATGCCGGAACAACCCGAGACTACAACCCATATGGGCTCCAGAGGGCGGTTTAGGGTTTAGAGTTTAG